AGCTGTCACTCACGCAGCTGGGAGGATCTTTTTCAGAAATACATTTTTATTAAGATTTTACAGAGACAATTTTGGTAGAGGTACAATGACAAAGGACATACATAGAGCATACAGACCACAGTCTCACAAATTATGCATTAGGTCCGAACCTTGTAGCATAGAACGCAATCATGGTGTAGGCACCTATAAAAAAAAAAAAGTTAGGCGTATTTAAGTTTTGCCACCATGCAGGTCTTGGCCCGCTGCCCAGCTGTCGGTGGTGGGCCGGTTCTGAGTAAAGGGCGACCGGTGGTCATGAAAGCGCTCCGAATCTAAGTGACCAAGGTACTGCAAAAGTAACATTTACCACAGACAAATAGGAGAAGAGAGTGAAAGTAATATAGGAGGGGTATAGAGGAAACGTGAGAAGGGGATGGGGGAGTAAAGAAACAAATGGGAGAGGAGGAGGAGGCAAGAGGAGGGGGTTGGAGATGTCCGATCACCGCTTTAGTGTGTGGGTGAGAGGGGGGGGGGGAGTACCCGCCCCATAGTGTCCTTTTAACCTTTACAGTGTTGGGGTAGCCCCACTGCAAGGGTTATTAAAAGTTTCCTGAAGATATTTAAGGAATACAATGGTGTTGTCTCTCCACCCAACCCTTTTACTGGACAGTGAAAGAGCAGTAACAGATAAAGTCATCACATTGCTCTTTGTATCAGCATGATTTTTGTCAGTGCAATTGCATGCTTCATACCTAATTGGCTTCCAGTCCTGCTTCTCTCTCATCCTATCAGCATGATCTTTGTCAGCACCTTTGCATGCAGCATAACTAATTGGCTCCAAATCCTGTCCCTGCTCTTTCATCCTATCAGCATGATTTTTTCCAGCACCCTGGCATACAGTATACCTAATTGCCTTTCAGTCCTGCCCCTATTCTCTCATCCTATAAGCATAATCTTTGTCAGCACATTTACATGCAACATACCTAATTGCCTGCCAGTCCTGCCCCTGCTCTCTCAGCCTATCCGCATGATATTTTGTCTACATATTTGCATTAGGGCTGCAACAACTAATCAACATAATCGATTATAATCGATTTATTGAAAACGTTGTCAACTTTTTCAATAATCGATTAATCGGCTTCTGATCAGTTGGCCCTGTTCACAGCTCCACATGCTGTGCGCCGCACCTCCTCCCCACCTCATGCTAGCATGAAACATACCTAATTGGGTCAGTCCTGTACCTCCGTCTTCTTAATTCGGATACTTAAAATAATTGCATTAAAAGAACACATTGTATGATCTTTTAATTAAATTGTAGCTGTATTAATTTATGCGTTTCTAGCTGCCTGCAGTACAACTTTACGTTGTTTAGTGTCATATTTAGCCCCGGTGATTTTCCTCTGAATTTGCTGAATGAATTTCCTCTACATTTGCTGAACAAAAATGTATTTTTGGTGTTTAGGAGTGGAGCCAGTTTTTCACATTGGGTGCAGTAATATTTCAATTTTTCAGGCTGGCAATACATGGTTTAATTTTTTGCTAGTGATGTCACAGGTCCCAAAATAGTGAATAATAATTGTGAAGTGTACAGGTTTATAGCTAGCAATTTGGACATATTAGTTTATTCTCATTTATTGATTATTTTTTTTTATACTGTTCTGGTAAATCTCTACAGTGGATGAAAGAGTGTTCTTGTGTTCACATGTTAAAATCCTTCCCAGGGGAAATACACATTTGCCTATTTTGGTAAATAAAAGAAAAAAAAATCTCAAATGTTCCAAACTTTTTCTTTAATTTTACATCTGGTTAGTTATATACGCATTGATATACAAGATAACAGACTGCCATTTACCTGTGCTCTAACTACCTAAAACTCTCGGTTCCACCCATTAAACATATATGGCACAACTCTACTCTCAATAAGAAGATATCAAGTTATAAACTTCCCCGTGCTCCAACAAACAGTATGCCTAGGTAGGCTCTCACCTTTTTGAAACTTACTAGGTGATCAGACAGTGATCATCTAATGGTTAATGAAGTGTCTGTAATGTAAAAGTAGGACGATTGAGGCATTTTAAATAATTTAATGTAATAGATGAACACTTTTACATACTGTACTTACACTGGGGAGCATCAATATGCACCCAATAACATGTTGATGTTAGCACTCATTCCTCCTATCACCTCAATCAGATTGCAGGGCAGACAGTAGCACACAAGAAAAGCACTGTTTGCGTCAGGAGTAGGAGAAAGACTGACATATGGGACCTCATTGTTTGAAGTCTTCTAATTATACCTAATTGTTAAAGACAAGTGGATCCCATAAATAGGGCCTGCATAGAAATGTGTTCTTGTGACCTTACCTAATTGCTACTAAATTATAGCTGGGTATACATGACTTAGAATATCGTACTGAGGTTCATGCGAAAAATCTTCTGAACATTTCAATAATGCTATCAGAGACTTGAAGAACAACGTTCAAGCTTTTGTTTGGTTTTAACATTACAAGTCATCATTTTAAGTAATTTCCTGAGGAAAAAAAAAATCATATAAACTGTTAGGATTTTGTTTGTTCAAGAACAAACTTCCATCATGCTCCTTTTTTGATTTTTTTTTTTTCTCTGCCACTATGTTAAACAATTGTTGATTTGACCCCATTAACTATTAGAAAAACAAATGAACTTTCTGAAAGCAAATTTTTTTCCGAACTAAATGCTAACCACGTATAACCAGCTTTAGATTCTAAATCTGTTACTATTAGAATTGTAAATGGAATCTAAATTACTTCTGACTGGTAAATTATCAAGTGTATGCATGTAGTCTAAATGAGCTGAAGCCATGATTTTAGATGTAGATTTTCTTTACATTTAAATTGTAAGTTTTAATTTTTATATCATTTGAAAATTAAAGTATAGCCTTTCATAAAAAAAAAATATAATTGTAAACCCTGATCATTCTCCCAGGTGCATAGCATAATGCACACCACCAGTAAATGCTTTAAAATAAAATTCCTAAATACATACTCCCAACTCTCCCTCATTTGGAGCCAATCCCTCTGATTCTCCTTGTTCTTCAGTTGTTTCTATTTGTTCTGACATCTCTAAAAACGTATCTTACCATTTCACTAACAAAAATGTTATTTTACTCTGGACTTTCATCCACAATCTAAATCATTGCACTTATTTTGAAGAGCCAATCATTTTAATATATACATTTTTCATGCTCCGTGTATTCAGGGGTATGGCAGGGTGTGTTTTAAGCTTTCCTCCATAGGCTATATGTGACTTTTTTTCTTTTTTCCCTATGCATGGTCCAGGTCAAGGACTGGACTTAGCTGCAGCAGGTCACATATCCTGTAGAGATGGGAAGTTTGGATCTTTGAAATCGGTTCATTTTGAATGGTCCAATCAAATGAAGCGATTCATGAATCAAATAATCGGTTCACTTGCTGAGTCTACTAACAAGCAAGTGAACAGAAGCTCCAGGAGCTGTCTGAACCTTATAAAAAGATCCAAATCAGAAGACTCTGATTCAGAGAAGGGTGACAGCTCCTAGAGATAGTTCCTGTGATCAGGTTCAGACAGCCCCTGAGCTTCGGTTCACATGCTTGTCAGCCGACTCAGCAAGTGAACCGAAGAACCGATTCCAAAGCCACCGGGAGTGTGGCTTTTAGCCACCGGGAGTCTGTTGCGTTTTGTAGAGCTGGCGACCGGCTTTACAGTAGAAGCGATTCTGGTGGCTCAGCTTCTACAATCCGGTAACAAGGCCGCCCTGCTCCTCCTTCTGGCCCAGGACCGCCTTGCCGGGTGTCGGCGGGAAGCAGGGGAGGAGAGCGACGAACAACTGTTTGTCAATCCCCTCCCTGTACTATGGGACCGGGAGCGACGCGTATTGCATCACTTCCGGCCCCAAAGCTGTCAGTGCCGGGCTCCTGAAGCCCAGCAATAAGCTATTGAAGTGCAGACTGCCCCAGCATCACCTTAAAGAGTACCTGTCACTGCCATTATGTTATCACATGGGGGGCCTGTAAAGCCCCCTATGTGATAGCAATTAAAGTAACGTTAAAAAAAATACAGTTTTAAAATGAATATTAAATAAATGTAAAAAGAAAAACAAATTAAGTCCCCCGCTTCTGAGAGCACGCGCATTGTCACATAAACATGCGTCGGGTGCACCTACGTACGAAAATGACGATTGCACTAAACAGGTTTTAAAGCGTCGTCTATGGACTTTTTGGGGTACTGAATTCTGTTGCAGTTTCACGGATGCACACAATTTTTAACCTGGGCATTTTGGGTATCTATTTACTCGTAACCTCATCTTTCATATTTTACAAAAAAAATGGTTTTATATAGTGTGTTTTGGGGCACTAAATTTAACTTAAGTGCATTTTTCACTAAATTTTTGGGTTTGATAATAAGTTGCGCTAATGTCTTGCAACATAAAAATTTGCAAATGCTGCCATTTTATTCTATAGAGTCTTGGCTTTCAGAAAATGTATAATGTTTGGGGGTTTGAAGTAATTTTGTAGGCCTAAAATGTGGATTATAACATGGGTGCAAAAGATTTAGAAAAGTTCTTGGTCCTAAGGGGATATAAGGATAAAGTTCCTCTTTAATAATTTTCTTATTCTTCGAAGAGTTAACGTTGTCATTAATAGGTCCCAGTAATGCATGAAATCGCCTGATTGTTCATAATGAACATAAAAATGTATGAAAATGTCCATGGAATGTTGAGCTTGGCTTTTCTGCAACCACCAACCCAATCTCTACATTTACAAATGTGATAGATGAACTCAGTGACAAATAGGAAGTCTTGTGAGTGCGCCTTGAGTTGCAACATGAATATAATCTCGGCTGCCTTTCTCTGGGTCTAGCAATCATTTGGTTTTCACTATAATTAACTTTTGTTTTATTTTTTTTACTCTAAGTTTCAGTATTATTAAAGGTTTTCTTACGATTACTTTAGGATTGTGTTGGGGATTATTTCTTTGAATTGATTTTTTTTTTTTATGTTTTCAGATCCGAAAATTGCTGAAGCTGAAACTGAGGTCTCTACAGAGTGGGAATTAAAGACAATTACAAGTGCTTTGAAGACATATTTGAGGTATGTTAAAGACACAGTATGCATCGGAGTGCTGAAGATGGAATCTACATGTACACATACCTTTTACAGAAATTGGGTGTAATGCACATTCATTTGCAAGTTGATAGTGTGTTCAGTAATACAGTCAGAGATAGTGGACATTAAGCTTTACTTTTCACCTTGTAAAGCCTCTAATTATTTTAGGAAATATTTTACGCATGCCTGCATTCAGTAAGTGAACTAATGAGCGTCCCTATATTAAATATTAGTGAAACTGGTTGATGGTAAAAATTGGGGATGCGATGATACAGATGCTAGTAGCGGTGCTAATGCCTAAGTGTTTGGGCGGTACTCGTACTCACTAATGAGCGTCCCTATATTAAATATTAGTGAAACTGGTTGATGGTAAAAATTGGGGATGCGATGATACAGATACTAGTATCGGTGCTAATGCCTAAGTGTTTGGGCGGTACTCGTACTCACCCAAATGCTCCAATACTTACCCCTGATACCGGAATTCCTGGTCAGAGGGAGATTTCCTCTATTTCCTCTAATCGGCAGTGCTGCAAGGGAGCATGGAGCCGGTTTCCTGGCCCATTAGGAGGCTCGGCGAGGGGTAATGACTCGCCGCCTGGCTTCCTGATTGGCTTTGAAGCCGGCTTTCCGGCCAATCAGCATCAAGTCGCCCAAACAGCATGGATCAGTTTTCCTGGGTAATCGGGCTTCCTGATTGGCTGGGAAACCGGCTCCATGCTAGTGGAAGTACCGTATAGGTTCTCAGTATCGGCGAGACCAAAAGATAAATAAGCAAAAAAAAAATCGGCATCGGTGCATCCCTAGCAAAATGGAAGCTTTGATTAAAATTAAAAAAAGTAATGTACCTCACTCCAACCAAACATGACAGTAGCACAACATAACTGTCAGAACTTTTCACTGTGTCAGACCAGTCCATATAAATTTGTATGTCAGACAGGTGGCTTTAAACTTTGGGGTGTGTCAGTCTGTGAGTAGTCCTAGACAGGAGATATTAAACATATTAATTAATGTAATATAATGCATATTAATGTTTCATATTTACATTTCCTGCCAGCCGGTTGCACTATAGACTATTTTTGAAATTTTTGCTAAGCTAACCTTTGCTGAAAGAAAAAAAAAATGCCTCAATAGTTCAAGTGGCATGACGCAGAACAAGTCACCCCACCTTCCTGCCAGCTCTGTTCAGAGGGCTCTAATGATATTCAGTTAGAGAAATAGAGGGCGATTCAATAAAGCATTTGCAACACATTTATGATTGTGTGTATGTAGTAAGAAACTTTTCACCAAATTCTTCAAAAACCCTGCAATGCTTCTATTATTAATAATACTGACATGTCAAGTAATACTTATTTGTGACTTTCCTACTGTATGGCGCTATTGTGGCATCAAATTCATAAAATATTGCCACCATATTGGTGAAAAAGAAAGTGGAGGTAAATAAGACCTCTTCCATGTTGAAGTAAGTTGATGATTATATTGCGTGTATAATCATTGTGTCTCGTCTTTGAGACAATTCTGCGACAAGCGGTTCCTCTGGAACAGATATTTGATACATTTTTATTACTCTCCCAACTTTTTAAAATCGCTCTATGCCTGTAAAACCCCAACTCACAGGAGAGATGATTATGACAGTTTAGTCGTGACAGATTTGTATACACTTTACCAACACGTACATGAATCTGTCACACCCTCCGCCATTTGTCACACTACCATGAGAGATTTCTAAAGAGTATCTATGACACTGTTTATGAATTACCGGGATAGTGTGAAAGCAGTTTCTTTAGTACCTTCTCTTTAAAAACCCATAGTGTTCCATGAAACAAGTGTCATTGACCTATTAAGCCTTTATTGATAAGATATTTTCTATAAATAGTAATAAATCATATAAGCACATCAGTTTTCAAATGTATGAATGTAAAAAAGTTAAGTTAAATCATAACCTATATAGTTTCTTTTGAAATACAAGTCTGGTATTTATATATTCTGATTAAAAACTAACTTTGTCATAAGATGTATGATATTTTTTTTCCATTCTGAAAATGGCATATCTTTTTTTGTGTAATAGTGTTGAAAACAATAAGCTTTTGTGTATGTAATGTGAACGGTGAAGAGTATGGTGTTAGCGCTGCTTAATACTTATTTATATTGCAGGATGCTTCCAGGGCCCCTCATGACTTACCAGTTTCAAAGAAGTTTCATCAAGGCTGCTAGTAAGTTCTCCATTAAGAGACTTCTGTGTAAAAGAATCTTTTTATAAAGCAGTGTCTGTCAGACACACAGCCAACAGTAGTGATTTTCGTTTTCATCTTATGGCTGTCTGTGGAACATTTGGATCCACAGGGACACATATGAGAAATTGAGCTGCGTAATGGGGTTAGCTTACCTGAAGAAGAGGTCAGATAACATATATATGAGGTAAAATACCTAACAGAATGGAGGATCTGCTGATTTCAGCTAGACTGTAGAACTTTCAGTGGATGTTTTTATTTAGAAATACAATCACATCTTCCCCACAACAGTAGTTTTACATTTTGTATATCTGCTTAGTGTTGTAAGACTTAAGAGGTCTGCTACTTTCAAAGCATAACCCCATCCAAAAATGAAAAAGAAAGCACTAGCCCATTAAAAGATATTGCAATACTTGCTTTCAGTCTGGAGCTGTCCCCCACATTACTTATTTTCTATTACTAAATCTCTTCTGTCTTCCAGGTTGAATGACAGACTGGCCAACATCATTCAACCCACTTCTTTTGAGCACTGGCCATCATAGCAAACTCTCTTAGCCTGTGACTGGACAGGGAAGCAGAAGCAGCAAAGTGATGATGTCATCTCTCTGGAGCTCTGCTTCTCCCTCCCATCAGCATGCTCCTTGTTAGCACATGGACGGACTGGCTCCTTGTGCTGCTGCTTCCACTCCCAGTATGAATTCAGATGTACAGGGACTGTGGGAGGCTGATACCAGGTCAGATTAAGGGATGTATTAAGGATGTATTAATGAACTACTACTAAACATAGTTTTAAATGTGTCTGTTTGTAATTTTCTTTTTAACTTTGTGTCCCCGGTCCTGTCTTAAAGCAGCACTGGGAGAGCAGCTATTCATGCCAGTACCGTTTTAATACGGCACCTAGAATCAGCGGCTATTGCGGGTCCGGTGGGGGTTCAAGCTGGAATCAGGGCTGTCTGCTCCATTGCTTTTAGAGATCCATCGGAGTGCACTGTAGAAGCAAATGTAAACACTGTGGGGGAAATATATGATTACTGTCTATAATGGGGATAGCAGTGCCGTAGCCTCTAATGAACCACAATGGCTGAAGATTGATATGGTCCAGAAACAGACAGAATTAGGGTAAACAAAGCCCCTGAGCCGGATGGCTTACACCTATGTGTCCTCAAAGAATTGAACTGTATAATTGCAAAGCCATTGTATCTAATTTTTAGAGACTCTCTAATGACTGGCTTGGTACCGATGGATTGGCACAAGGCCAATGTGGTGAACCCGAATAAAGGAAATCCATTGTCTGATTCACCGCTTGCCGGAGAAGAACCGACAGATGTTGCACTTGTTAATGAAACACTTGGCAAAGTAAGTCCTTTTGTATTCCCTGTACCAATGAAATTCCTGAGAAGTAGCAGTTGCATGTGGGTTATTACCTCTTCCTTTTAAGTTTCTCTCCCATTTCTTTCTCCTTGACCACAATGTTCGCCATCACTGGACAGCAGGGCCATGTCTTGGTTTAAGCAAACTATCCTGTTGCCTAGAACACTGCAACCACAAAGAACATCTCACTGCAGTAAAAATGGCAATCCTAATTTTAAGAGTCAGTGCAATAAATTATTTTAGAAATATATGCGCATTGTGTGTTAATTTCATATAGGTCAATTCTATTATGCAGATGTCTGGTTTTAATTTCCAGCCCCTAGACCCACCTTTCCTTTTTGATATGCATGACTTCTTTGTAATATAGACTTCTGCCAATACGTGGTGTAAAATACATGTGTCCATAAGCTAAATTGTAATGGCTTCATTGTAATTTAGCATAAGCTAAATTACAATGAAGCCGCACCAAACTGATAGGCTCATCATTCTGCTCTGTCAAAATGCAAATTATACAGGTATTTAACCAGTTGTGTTCCTTGCTTCAACCAACTGCTTATTCATACATTGTCGCAATGTATCATTGTAGCTCTTATGTGTTAATCAAAGGCTCATCCTTTTGCTTTACTCATAAAGTCACTATGGCCAAACCAGTGATTGTCTTCTAAACATACATTGTTCCTATTTGACCCTTTAATATAACAGCCCTTAGTTAAACCTAGTTACCGTTTTCCCTTCCTCCTTTCCATAGACTTTTTTTTTTAATTATACAAAGATTTTTGGTTTTACTAGTTTGTTTTTTTCAGTGTTGTGTTAAAAACACACAAAATATCGACTATTGCATAATATGATTATGGTCCTAGTAATTTATTTGTAACCTTTGATGTGCTAACTTGGAATGCTGGGGCATTACATTGTTAAAAAAAAAAAAAGCTTTGTCTGAAACTGCAGGGCAGTCACATGCAAGTCACAGGTCAGACAGGCCTTTAGTAGATTCTTTTATATATTTCATATCAAACATTGGGGTAGTGGGACTTAAACCCTTACAATAAATTTATTTTTATTTGCTCTCTTGTTGGTAAAGTGGAAAAAATATTTGCTAGTAGGTAAGCTTTATAGCTTTATATTGTAGAAGAGAAATAAAAGCTAGAGCATGTCACATCGCTGGAGTGGAGATAAGTTCTAGGTCCCCTTTAAATAAAATATTTATTATAAAGAGTTCTAATTGTAAAATA